TAGCCGTTAGTACCTTGATTCTAGTTGCTGCAATAAGAACCAGTACTATAGGACCAGCAAATTCTCCTATACTTAGTGCTTCACAACTGAGAATCCACGAGGCAAGTTCACTTGAACTTATATGCCATAAATGTTTTGTTTAATTGTAGCTGATACTGTTTTTTGGCAAAATTAACATTTTTGTGATTAGACTTGCCCTTGATATAATTTTTACGCATTAATAGTAATTACAGTATTTAAAACCTCAGAGATTTACAACCTTCTTTTATTTCAGTGGAATTTAACATATCCCACATACTACAGCTCTGTAGTATGAGTCACGTCAGTATGTCAAGCCAAATCCACAAAGTATTTCCATTATATCTTCACCTTGACTATTGTGTAACATTACCAAACATTATTCCCTCTCCTTGTGGTTTTGCACACACCTGGTCCCTGTCACATTATAAGATCATTTTAATATGCCTCTATTGTGAATGAAAGCACAGCAAAAAATATAGGGAAAAAAACCCTTGTCCTTTTTTCTTTTTCCTACTCTAGTGAAGAGTAGGGCAAAAGTTAGTTTTTCGTGATAAATTTCATATAGCTCTCTGCGTATATGAATTAAAAGCTAGACTTTTTGCATCTTCATGTTTTTCTGTTATTTTTGAGAATCTTTATATATGAATGTCAAGATATCTCTGTCCTTTACTAAAATAATATTCATCTACCAAAGGATTAGGTAGGCCAGTGCTTCATTATCAGCTTTGTATTTCCAAGAGTATGTTCATATCACATGAAGTAGCCCAAAGAGTTTTCTCTGTCTTTGGATGGACCATCTTCCAGATCTTGTCCAAGAGCGAAGGAGATTTTCGGGCTGTGCTCAAGAAGAGTTTTGTACAGGCGGATTGCAACTATTTCCCATACATGTGATGGAAGCAGGAGCCCGTTTCTGCCCGACTGTCCTTGCCAGACTGCTGGCTGCTTGCCAGCCCGCTCCCCTAGCAAAGCGCCCGCGCTCACTATACGTCTGCCAAGTGCCAAGCCAGATGCAGGTGATATAAATGGCCAGGACACAGATCCGAAGCATTGCACACCAGGCAGCTCTTGCCCACCCACAGCGTACAGTCCATGCTGTCAAAGCCCATTACATATAGCAATATGCTGCAGTACAGAACTGCAGCTGTGAGGGGGACAAAACGCACAATACATAATTGGGCACAGCAGCAGTCCAGTCCTCAGCAATGTCTGCAGTCCTCTGTCGCGTTTGCTCCAGCAGCAGCGCACATTGGTCACACTGCAGCCCCCGAACCTGTGCACAGGAGGAGGGAAGGGAGTTATGATTGGATGGCATTTGAGTGCATGTCCCTAATGCTTCACGTGACCTGCCACATGTCATGAACAGCTGCTTTAACTTAAGGGATTTAGTAGCATAAGGCTGGTTGTGTGCAGTGCTTTGACCAAGCGTGGAGAAAGGAAGGAGCTGTATTAGCACTGGGCACATGCCCTTTGCTGAGAGTATTTCCAGGGGTGCTCACCTCATCGGAGGCAGGACCATCTGAGAATGGGCAGAGTGTGCCTCATGGTCTCTTGGGACATTGTTTTACCTCATGAGTTGCAAAGCAGCAGGCTACATGGTCTATTTAGGACCCTGAGTGCCTATCTGTGTTTAATCAGATGACAAATTAGGTCTAATCTGCCACCCCAGCCATCACAATCACTAAGATGTCCCAGAGCCACAACACAATCTGATGGCTGATTCAGACGCTGGGAGTATGGTATGAAAATTGCTCGTGTGTTATTAGCAGAAAAGTTTCTTTGAACTTGTCAGCACTTAATTTGATCAGTGATCAATGGCTTTGGGTTACACATTACTGAAGAGATACAAAGCCTCGATGTTGTTTAGGATGTATCCAGAGTCTTCAATATAGATGTTACATTAGGTATAAGAAATGAAATCTTTCACCTTTGATTTACTGAACGCAACTACTGCAAGAACGTTGGCGTGGGCCTTTCCTGTGAACCCATGTGGAGCCCATGAGAAGTAGCCTGGTAATTAGTAGCATTTATTAATACATTCTGTTTGCTTCTCTGAGAGAGAGAGGGGAAATGAAGTCTCCAGATTGCATAGGCTCTGTGTTCCTGTTACTCTCAGCTTTGTCCTCCCTGGCTTGTGTTCTGCATCTGCCCATCCTCTTTCCGTCTTCTGACCACAGCCTGCTTTACAGTGTGTCGTACAGCCTCTGTGAGCGCTGGGCCCTACTGACTACTGTAACACGGGTGGGTAATCAGGAATGGGGAACATGCAGCAGCAAGTGAGCCATGGGTTTCACAGATGCCACTAATTCCTGGGTTATCAGAGCCTTCCCAAGTCTGTTTGCTCAGCACCTAAAGGTGCGTGTGTTCTCTTCTCTCCAGGCCAGTAGGAGGACTGATGATGACCATTGTTAGAAAGCACTTTGCAAGAAAGAACTATTTGCATTTGATCTTGAAAGCTACATGGATATGTAGCCAGTAGAGAATGAAATAGCTTCCTTGCTTTTTTATACCTTTCACCTAAATGCGATATTCAAATATAAAATTTAGTTCTAGATGTCCTTGAGGTTTCTGATGGTCCCTGGAGGACTTTGGAACAACAGAGCATTAACTACATTTTCATACGAGACTGTATTACAAGTAGGAGATGAGTAACTAATTAAAATATAGAGCTGATTTTTATTTAAATTAGATACTTTGTTTGAAATAATAAGAAAGGGAATAGAAGGTGGACAAGTTTGGAGAAAACTAGCAAATAAATTCGAAGCTGTGAAGACCAGGTTTATGCTTTCATTTTGTAATTGTAAGTCAGTGTTGTAACTTTGTCACTGGGCATTACTGGCAACCTGACACATCTTCTCAGAGTGAGAAGTTTTCAGTGACACGATGCTCTCAGAGGTGCAGTCCTGCAGGGATCCTGACGGGAGGTCATTGCTGTCGCGTCCCTGATGTAACAGCTCTGCTCTGGCTTAAAGACAGCAGAAGTGAATGATTAAAATGGAAAGGGTTGTGTATTTAAGTAGTGAAACAGTACAACCTGCAGTAGTCTATGTAATATTTCTTAAAATGGTTTTGTTACAGCAAATCCTTTTCCACTCCACCTTTCCAGGCATAACCAGCGTAGCCAAGCCACCAGGCAAGCAGGGGCTCCAGGTTACACTGAGGACCCTGCTCAGCAGAGCAGCCCTGGGCACCGCCAGCCAGGGACATGGGGTTGCTAATGCTTCCCCACTCTGAATTTAACAGCAGGTTTGGCTACCACAGGGCAGCCTTGTTCTCCCAAGCCCCTGTTAGCCCTTTCCAGTGGGGTGAGGCCAGACACCCGATGCTGGGGTTAGCCAGGGAGGCTGGGAGCGCCCCGTCATTGACGTCAACAGGAGCGGGGCCCGCTGGCCCCCAGCCCGCCTGCCTGCAGGTAGCCGCGAGAAATGCTCCCCTGAGCAGGGCTGCCTGTGCCTGGGCAGAGCCTGGCAGCGCCCAGGCCGCACACATGACAGTGGCACTGGGGAGGTGGCGGGTTTGGCTCGCCCAGAGGGAATGGGGTTTTGAGGGCTGGCGAGGGTGCTGGAGATCAGGCGTCGCATCAGCTTGTGAAAACAAGCTGTTTTGTTGAACAGCAACTTTGAAATTGTGAGTCAAAGACCCAGTTTGAATCTGTGGCCAGATGTGGACCGTGCTTGGGGGCTCTTTTTTCCCCCTGAGTGCTTTGGGTTTGTTTGGGCAAGAAGCACACCCAGGGCTCTGAGCCGAGTCATGAGGATCAGTCACCATGGGGAGTCCAGCAGGGGTTGTTTAATTCACTTAACTGAGACTACCTGAACCTCTGGTTTAAATTGCTGTGAGCAACAACAGCAACAACTGTCCCTATCTCCCTCCCACAGCAGAACGAGCCCCCAGAGTACCAAAGTGTGAAGCCCGTGTGAAGCATCTTCTGTTAGGGCTAAACCTGCACACATGCCTCTCTGAGCGATGTCAAAAAGCTTCAGAGAAATAAATGGGCGAGAGAAGGGGCTCTGTGCTGGGCTGCTGGCGAGGGGTGGGCTTCCTCCCCACAGAGCTGGCCCTGGGCTGCTGCTCTGCGCCCTGCCCCCC